AAGCTTTCATGCGATGACGGCTTGATGACCGCTCCGTGTGATGCAAACGATTGCACATGATAAGAAACACATAGGATGAAGCGACGTCGATGTATTTCAGCAATTCGCTCGTACGAGTTGGCAGTAGACTGGCACTTGCCGAATAAAGGCCAGAACCAATGAAACAAGCAGGGCCAACGAGGCTGTGAATCAGCGTATGCTTTCGTCCTGATGTGCGGTGTAGAGCGCAATTTTTGTGGTGCGGGGATGTGCGACTGCGATGAGGCCTCGATAGCTCAGTTGGGAGAGCGTCAGACTGAAGATCTGAAGGTCCCTGATTCGATCCCGGGTACCTTTGCACAACCCTGCCGCTTCCTTCGTTCCTCCATCTTGTTCCAATCTATTATGCTGTACCAGTAGCATGGTGCTTTACAGTGGACCAGTAGCATACAGTTAAAGTCCGGTAGGTGTGCGTACAGTATGCTTGAGAGACCAACTGCTTTGAGGTCACATCTTTTTCAGGCCAACATTCAGCGTTCTTTGTCGGCGGCCACCCAAGCTTTCATGCGATGACGGCTTGATGACCGCTCCGTGTGATGCAAACGATTGCACATGATAAGAAACACATAGGATGAAGCGACGTCGATGTATTTCAGCAATTCGCTCGTACGAGTTGGCAGTGGACTGGCACTTGCCGAATAAAGGCCAGAACCAATGAAACAAGCAGGGCCAACGAGACTGTGAATCAGCGTATGCTTGCGTCGTGATGTGCGGTGTAGAGCGCAATTTTTGTGGTGCGGGGGTGTGCGACTGCGATGAGGCCTCGGTAGCTCAGTTGGGAGAGCGTCAGACTGAAGATCTGAAGGTCCCTGGTTCGATCCCGGGTCACGGCACCTTTGCACAACCCTGCCGCTTCCTTCATTCCTCCATGTTGTTCCAATCTATTATGCTGTACCAGTAGCATGGTGCTTTACAGTGGACCAGTAGCATACTGTTAAAGTCCGGTAGGTGTGCGTACAGCATGCTTGAGAGACCAACTGCTTCGAGGTCACATCTTTTTCAGGCCAACATTCAGCGTTCTTTGTCGGCGGCCACCCAAGCTTTCAGCGGATGACGGCTTGATGACCGCTCCGTGTGATGCAAACGATCGCACATGATCACAAACACATCGGATGAAGCGACGTCGATGTATTTCAGCGATTCGCTCGTACGAGTTGGCAGTAGACTGGCACTTGCCGAATAAAGGCCAGAACCAATGAAACAAGCAGGGCCAACGAGACTGTGAATCAGCGTATGCTTGCGTCGTGATGTGCGGTGTAGAGCGCAATTTTTGTGGTGCGGGGATGTGCGACTGCGATGAGGCCTCGGTAGCTCAGTTGGGAGAGCGTCAGACTGAAGATCTGAAGGTCCCTGATTCGATCCCGGGTCGCGGCACCTTTGCACAACCCTGCCGCTTCCTTCATTCCTCCATCTTGTTCCAATCTATTATTCTGTACCAGTAGCATGGTGCTTTACAGTGGACCAGTAGCATACAGTTAAAGTCCGGTAGGTGTGCGTACAGTATGCTTGAGAGACCAACTGCTTTGAGGTCACATCTTTTTCAGGCCAACATTCAGCGTTCTTTGTCGGCGGCCACCCAAGCTTTCATGCGATGACGGCTTGATGACCGCTCCGTGTGATGCAAACGATTGCACATGATAAGAAACACATCGGATGAAGTGACGTCGATGTATTTCAGCAATTCGCTCGTACGAGTTGGCAGTAGACTGGCACTTGCCGAATAAAGGCCAGAACCAATGAAACAAGCAGGGACCACGAGGATGTGAATCAGCGTATGCTTGCGTCGTGATGTGCGGTGTAGAGCGCAATTTTTGTGGTGCGGGGATGTGCGACTGCGATGAGGCCTCGGTAGCTCAATTTGAAGTGGCTGTATATTACCTTTACATGCCTATACCTTCTCGGTCTTGCTTAGATCCTATACTTTCATTCTGATTTTTTTCTATTTTTTTTCAATTGGCCGCTTAGGGCGTCGGGACTGTCTTGCTTCACTTGAGGTCGTCCGCTCCTCAAGCTGTTTTTCTCTTAGGTACCGGGTTCCCATAGTACCTTCGAGACTTCTTGGTTCTTGCGACCGTCCTTTGGTCGGAGGAGGGATTCGATCTCGCAATCGCTGGATTAACAGGTTGGCACCACACCACTGCACCAGCCTGGACCACATTGCCTCAGTAGCTCAGTTGGGAGAGCGTCAGACTGATGATCTGAAGGTCCCTGGTCCGATCCCGGGTCGCGGCAACTTTGCACAACCCTGCCGTTTCCTTCATTCCTCCATGTTGTTCCAACTTATTATGCTGCACCTGTAGCATGGTGCTTTACAGTGGACCAGTAGCATACAGTTAAAGTCCGGTAGGTGTGCGTACAGCATGCTTGAGAGACCAACTGCTTCGAGGTCACATCTTTTCAGGCCAACATTCAGGGTTCTTTGTCGGCGGCCACCCAAGCTTTCAGGCGATGACGGCTTGATGACCGCTCCGTGTGATGCAAACGATTGCACATGATCACACACACATAGGATGAAGCGACGTCGATGTATTTCAGCAATTCGCTCGTACGAGTTGGCAGTAGACTGGCACTTGCCGAATAAAGGCCAGAACCAATGAAACAAGCAGGGCCAACGAGACTGTGAATCAGCGTATGCTTGCGTCGTGATGTGCGGTGTAGAGCGCAATTTTTGTGGTGCGGGGATGTGCGACTGCGATGAGGCCTCGGTAGCTCAGTTGGGGAGAGCGTCAGACTGAAGATCTGAAGGTCCCTGATTCGATCCCGGGTCGCGGCACCTTTGCACAACCCTGCCGCTTCCTTCATTCCTCCATCTTGTTCCAACTTATTATGCTGCACCTGTAGCATGGTGCTTTACAGTGGACCAGTAGCATACAGTTAAAGTCCGGTAGGTGTGCGTACAGCATGCTTGAGAGACCAACTGCTTCGAGGTCACATCTTTTTCAGGCCAACATTCAGGGTTCTTTGTCGGCGGCCACCCAAGCTTTCAGGCGATGACGGCTTGATGACCGCTCCGTGTGATGCAAACGATTGCACATGATCACACACACATAGGATGAAGCGACGTCGATGTATTTCAGCAATTCGCTCGTACGAGTTGGCAGTAGACTGGCACTTGCCGAATAAAGGCCAGAACCAATGAAACAAGCAGGGACCACGAGGATGTGAATCAGCGTATGCTTGCGTCGTGATGTGCGGTGTAGAGCGCAATTTTTGTGGTGCGGGGATGTGCGACTGCGATGAGGCCTCGGTAGCTCAATTTGAAGTGGCTGTATATTACCTTTACATGCCTATACCTTCTCGGTCTTGCTTAGATCCTATACTTTCATTCTGATTTTTTCTTATTTTTTTTTTAATTGGCCGCTTAGGGCGTCGGGACTGTCTTGCTTCACTTGAGGTCGTCCGCTCCTCAAGCTGTTTTTCTCTTAGGTACCGGGTTCCCATAGTACCTTCGAGACTTCTTGGTTCTTGCGACCGTCCTTTGGTCGGAGGAGGGATTCGATCTCGCAATCGCTGGATTAACAGGTTGGCACCACACCACTGCACCAGCCTGGACCACATTGCCTCAGTAGCTCAGTTGGGAGAGCGTCAGACTGATGATCTGAAGGTCCCTGGTCCGATCCCGGGTCGCGGCACCTTTGCACAACCCTGCCGTTTCCTTCATTCCTCCATCTTGTTCCAACTTGTTATGCTGTACCAGTAGCATGGTGCTTTACAGTGGACCAGTAGCATACAGTTAAAGTCCGGTAGGTGTGCGTACAGTATGCTTGAGAGACCAACTGCTTTGAGGTCAGATCTTTTTCAGGCCAACATTCAGCGTTCTTTGTCGGCGGCCACCCAAGCTTTCAGGCGATGACGGCTTGATGACCGCTCCGTGTGATGCAAACGATTGCACATGATCACACACACATAGGATGAAGCGACGTCGATGTATTTCAGCAATTCGCTCGTACGAGTTGGCAGTAGACTGGCACTTGCCGAATAAAGGCCAGAACCAATGAAACAAGCAGGGCCAACGAGACTGTGAATCAGCGTATGCTTGCGTCGTGATGTGCGGTGTAGAGCGCAATTTTTGTGGTGCGGGGATGTGCGACTGCGATGAGGCCTCGGTAGCTCAGTTGGGAGAGCGTCAGACTGAAGATCTGAAGGTCCCTGATTCGATCCCGGGTCGCGGCACCTTTGCACAACCCTGCCGCTTCCTTCATTCCTCCATCTTGTTCCAACTTATTATGCTGCACCTGTAGCATGGTGCTTTACAGTGGACCAGTAGCATACAGTTAAAGTCCGGTAGGTGTGCGTACAGCATGCTTGAGAGACCAACTGCTTTGAGGTCACATCTTTTTCAGGCCAACATTCAGGGTTCTTTGTCGGCGGCCACCCAAGCTTTCAGGCGATGACGGCTTGATGACCGCTCCGTGTGATGCAAACGATTGCACATGATCACACACACATAGGATGAAGTGACGTCGATGTATTTCAGCAATTCGCTCGTACGAGTTGGCAGTAGACTGGCACTTGCCGAATAAAGGCCAGAACCAATGAAACAAGCAGGGACCACGAGGATGTGAATCAGCGTATGCTTGCGTCGTGATGTGCGGTGTAGAGCGCAATTTTTGTGGTGCGGGGATGTGCGACTGCGATGAGGCCTCGGTAGCTCAATTTGAAGTGGCTGTATATTACCTTTACATGCCTATACCTTCTCGGTCTTGCTTAGATCCTATACTTTCATTCTGATTTTTTTCTATTTTTTTTTAATTGGCCGCTTAGGGCGTCGGGACTGTCTTGCTTCACTTGAGGTCGTCCGCTCCTCAAGCTGTTTTTCTCTTAGGTACCGGGTTCCCATAGTACCTTCGAGACTTCTTGGTTCTTGCGACCGTCCTTTGGTCGGAGGAGGGATTCGATCTCGCAATCGCTGGATTAACAGGTTGGCACCACACCACTGCACCAGCCTGGACCACATTGCCTCAGTAGCTCAGTTGGGAGAGCGTCAGACTGATGATCTGAAGGTCCCTGGTCCGATCCCGGGTCGCGGCAACTTTGCACAACCCTGCCGTTTCCTTCATTCCTCCATCTTGTTCCAACTTGTTATGCTGCACCTGTAGCATGGTGCTTTACAGTGGACCAGTAGCATACAGTTAAAGTCCGGTAGGTGTGCGTACAGCATGCTTGAGAGACCAACTGCTTCGAGGTCACATCTTTTTCAGGCCAACATTCAGGGTTCTTTGTCGGCGGCCACCCAAGCTTTCAGGCGATGACGGCTTGATGACCGCTCCGTGTGATGCAAACGATTGCACATGATCACACACACATAGGATGAAGCGACGTCGATGTATTTCAGCAATTCGCTCGTACGAGTTGGCAGTAGACTTGCACTTGCCGAATAAAGGCCAGAGCCAATGAAACAAGCAGGGCCAACGAGGCTGAGAATCAGCGTATGCTTTCGTCCTGATGTGCGGTGTAGAGCGCAATTTTTGTGGTGCGGGGGTGTGCGACTGCGATGAGGCCTCGGTAGCTCAGTTGGGAGAGCGTCAGACTGAAGATCTGAAGGTCCCTGGTTCGATCCCGGGTCACGGCACCTTTGCACAACCCTGCCGCTTCCTTCATTCCTCCATGTTGTTCCAACTTATTATGCTGTACCAGTAGCATGGTGCTTTACAGTGGACCAGTAGCATACTGTTAAAGTCCGGTAGGTGTGCGTACAGCATGCTTGAGAGACCAACTGCTTCGAGGTCACATCTTTTTCAGGCCAACATTCAGCGTTCTTTGTCGGCGGCCACCCAAGCTTTCAGGCGATGACGGCTTGATGACCGCTCCGTGTGATGCAAACGATCGCACATGATCACAAACACATCGGATGAAGCGACGTCGATGTATTTCAGCGATTCGCTCGTACGAGTTGGCAGTAGACTGGCACTTGCCGAATAAAGGCCAGAACCAATGAAACAAGCAGGGCCAACGAGACTGAGAATCAGCGTATGCTTGCGTCGTGATGTGCGGTGTAGAGCGCAATTTTTGTGGTGCGGGGGTGTGCGACTGCGATGAGGCCTCGGTAGCTCAGTTGGGAGAGCGTCAGACTGAAGATCTGAAGGTCCCTGATTCGATCCCGGGTCGCGGCACCTTTGCACAACCCTGCCGCTTCCTTCATTCCTCCATCTTGTTCCAATCTATTATTCTGTACCAGTAGCATGGTGCTTTACAGTGGACCAGTAGCATACAGTTAAAGTCCGGTAGGTGTGCGTACAGTATGCTTGAGAGACCAACTGCTTTGAGGTCACATCTTTTTCAGGCCAACATTCAGCGTTCTTTGTCGGCGGCCACCCAAGCTTTCAGGCGATGACGGCTTGATGACCGCTCCGTGTGATGCAAACGATTGCACATGATCACACACACATCGGATGAAGTGACGTCGATGTATTTCAGCAATTCGCTCATACGAGTTGGCAGTGGACTGGCACTTGCCGAATAAAGGCCAGAACCAATAAAACAAGCAGGGCCAACGAGGATGTGAATCAGCGTATGCTTGCGTCGTGATGTGCGGTGTAGAGCGCAATTTTTGTGGTGCGGGGATGTGCGACTGCGATGAGGCCTCGGTAGCTCAATTTGAAGTGGCTGTATATTACCTTTACATGCCTATACCTTCTCGGTCTTGCTTAGATCCTATACTTTCATTCTGATTTTTTTCTATTTTTTTTTAATTGGCCGCTTAGGGCGTCGGGACTGTCTTGCTTCACTTGAGGTCGTCCGCTCCTCAAGCTGTTTTTCTCTTAGGTACCGGGTTCCCATAGTACCTTCGAGACTTCTTGGTTCTTGCGACCGTCCTTTGGTCGGAGGAGGGATTCGATCTCGCAATCGCTGGATTAACAGGTTGGCACCACACCACTGCACCAGCCTGGACCACATTGCCTCAGTAGCTCAGTTGGGAGAGCGTCAGACTGATGATCTGAAGGTCCCTGGTCCGATCCCGGGTCGCGGCACCTTTGCACAACCCTGCCGTTTCCTTCATTCCTCCATCTTGTTCCAACTTGTTATGCTGTACCAGTAGCATGGTGCTTTACAGTGGACCAGTAGCATACAGTTAAAGTCCGGTAGGTGTGCGTACAGTATGCTTGAGAGACCAACTGCTTTGAGGTCACATCTTTCTCAGGCCAACATTCAGCGTTCTTTGTCGGCGGCCACCCAAGCTTTCATGCGATGACGGCTTGATGACCGCTCCGTGTGATGCAAACGATTGCACATGATCAGAAACACATAGGATGAAGCGACGTCGATGTATTTCAGCAATTCGCTCGTACGAGTTGGCAGTGGACTGGCACTTGCCGAATAAAGGCCAGAACCAATGAAACAAGCAGGGCCAACGATACTGAGAATCAGCGTATGCTTGCGTCGTGATGTGCGGTGCAGAGCGCAATTTTTGTGGTGCGGGGGTGTGCGACTGCGATGAGGCCTCGGTAGCTCAGTTGGGAGAGCGTCAGACTGAAGATCTGAAGGTCCCTGGTTCGATCCCGGGTCACGGCACCTTTGCACAACCCTGCCGCTTCCTTCATTCCTCCATGTTGTTCCAACTTATTATGCTGTACCAGTAGCATGGTGCTTTACAGTGGACCAGTAGCATACTGTTAAAGTCCGGTAGGTGTGCGTACAGCATGCTTGAGAGACCAACTGCTTTGAGGTCACATCTTTTTCAGGCCAACATTCAGCGTTCTTTGTCGGCGGCCACCCAAGCTTTCAGCGGATGACGGCTTGATGACCGCTCCGTGTGATGCAAACGATCGCACATGATCACAAACACATCGGATGAAGCGACGTCGATGTATTTCAGCGATTCGCTCGTACGAGTTGGCAGTAGACTGGCACTTGCCGAATAAAGGCCAGAACCAATGAAACAAGCAGGGCCAACGAGGCTGTGAATCAGCGTATGCTTGCGTCGTGATGTGCGGTGTAGAGCGCAATTTTTGTGGTGCGGGGATGTGCGACTGCGATGAGGCCTCGGTAGCTCAGTTGGGAGAGCGTCAGACTGAAGATCTGAAGGTCCCTGATTCGATCCCGGGTCGCGGCACCTTTGCACAACCCTGCCGCTTCCTTCTTTCCTCCATCTTGTTCCAATCTATTATGCTGTACCAGTAGCATGGTGCTTTACAGTGGACCAGTAGCATACAGTTAAAGTCCGGTAGGTGTGCGTACAGCATGCTTGAGAGACCAACTGCTTTGAGGTCACATCTTTTTCAGGCCAACATTCAGCGTTCTTTGTCGGCGGCCACCCAAGCTTTCATGCGATGACGGCTTGATGACCGCTCCGTGTGATGCAAACGATTGCACATGATCACAAACACATCGGATGAAGTGACGTCGATGTATTTCAGCAATTCGCTCGTACGAGTTGGCAGTGGACTGGCACTTGCCGAATAAAGGCCAGAACCAATGAAACAAGCAGGGCCAACGAGACTGTGAATCAGCGTATGCTTGCGTCGTGATGTGCGGTGTAGAGCGCAATTTTTTTGGTGCGGGGGTGTGCGACTGCGATGAGGCCTCGGTAGCTCAGTTGGGAGAGCGTCAGACTGAAGATCTGAAGGTCCCTGATTCGATCCCGGGTCGCGGCACCTTTGCACAACCCTGCCGCTTCCTTCTTTCCTCCATCTTGTTCCAATCTATTCTGCTGTACCAGTAGCATGGTGCTTTACAGTGGACCAGTAGCATACAGTTAAAGTCCGGTAGGTGTGCGTACAGCATGCTTGAGAGACCAACTGCTTTGAGGTCACATCTTTTTCAGGCCAACATTCAGCGTTCTTTGTCGGCGGCCACCCAAGCTTTCAGGCGATGACGGCTTGATGACCGCTCCGTGTGATGCAAACGATTGCACATGATCACACACACATCGGATGAAGTGACGTCGATGTATTTCAGCAATTCGCTCATACGAGTTGGCAGTGGACTGGCACTTGCCGAATAAAGGCCAGAACCAATGAAACAAGCAGGGCCAACGAGACTGAGAATCAGCGTATGCTTGCGTCGTGATGTGCGGTGTAGAGCGCAATTTTTGTGGTGCGGGGGTGTGCGACTGCGATGAGGCCTCGGTAGCTCAGTTGGGAGAGCGTCAGACTGAAGATCTGGAGGTCCCTGGTTTGATCCCGGGTCGCGGCACCTTTGCACAACCCTGCCGCTTCCTTCTTTCCTCCATCTTGTTCCAATCTATTCTGCTGTACCAGTAGCATGGTGCTTTACAGTGGACCAGTAGCATACAGTTAAAGTCCGGTAGGTGTGCGTACAGCATGCTTGAGAGACCAACTGCTTTGAGGTCACATCTTTTTCAGGCCAACATTCAGCGTTCTTTGTCGGCGGCCACCCAAGCTTTCAGGCGATGACGGCTTGATGACCGCTCCGTGTGATGCAAACGATTGCACATGATCACAAACACATCGGATGAAGTGACGTCGATGTATTTCAGCAATTCGCTCGTACGAGTTGGCAGTGGACTGGCACTTGCCGAATAACGGCCAGAACCGGTGGGACAAGCAGGGCCAACGAGACTGTGAATCAGCGTATGCTTGCGTCGTGATGTGCGGTGTAGAGCGCAATTTTTTGTGGTGCGGGGGTGTGCGACTGCGATGAGGCCTCGGTAGCTCAGTTGGGAGAGCGTCAGACTGAAGATCTGAAGGTCCCTGATTCGATCCCGGGTCGCGGCACCTTTGCACAACCCTGCCGCTTCCTTCTTTCCTCCATCTTGTTCCAATCTATTCTGCTGTACCAGTAGCATGGTGCTTTACAGTGGACCAGTAGCATACAGTTAAAGTCCGGTAGGTGTGCGTACAGCATGCTTGAGAGACCAACTGCTTCGAGGTCACATCTTTTTCAGGCCAACATTCAGGGTTCTTTGTCGGCGGCCACCCAAGCTTTCAGGCGATGACGGCTTGATGACCGCTCCGTGTGATGCAAACGATTGCACATGATCACACACACATCGGATGAAGTGACGTCGATGTATTTCAGCAATTCGCTCATACGAGTTGGCAGTGGACTGGCACTTGCCGAATAAAGGCCAGAACCAATGAAACAAGCAGGGCCAACGAGACTGAGAATAAGCGTATGCTTGCGTCGTGATGTGCGGTGT